TTCCGTAGTGATACTGCCTCGGAAACCCAAGGAGGGGTCGCTATGAGTCGGGGCCGACTCGATGGCACATAACAACAACAACAACAACAACAACAGTAATTTATAAACCTAAATGTTGAAACATTTATAAATCTACATTTTATTTAGTTAAATTTATAATAAATTCTTACTTACATTCTGCTTTAAAATTAAGATGTCTGAATTGCTATAATAGCTTTCACTACATTCCACATCATCCATATTTACACATTTTCACATTCTCCTTTATATCTTTCAAAACAAAGATAAAAGGTTTCAGACAGCCCAAATCAGGTTTATTCATATGTTCACAAGATCAAAGGAAACAGATATAAGGTGTTGGCCACAGAGAAACACCAAAAAAACTTAAAATACTTAAATTATGTATAGAACTTCTAAGGAAATCTTTCTCATTTCCCTTTATCTGGTTCCTATTTTTGGTTAGCAACGAAGTTTCAGTGAACAAAGATATTCAAATTACTGAGTCCCTAAAGCAGGATGAACTCAGCTGTTATAGAACAGAGAGAGAAAAATATTTTTTTTTGAAAGGAGAAAGCACAGTATTGTGAGAAGCAAGATTGGAAGCATAAATATCTTCAGTGTTGTAGTAAATCCTCCCCTGATCGCCTTCATGCAGAGCACAGCACAAAATGGAAGGACGTGATGACTTTCTGATGTTTTCACTTTAACACTTAAAGTATAGATAAGCATTAAAAAGGACCATTTTAGTTATTCAAAATGAGTGATTCATAACAGACTATTGATATACACAATTAGTATTGGCATATTTTATATATTGATCATAGCTAATTTACATTTTAATATAAGCATATAAATCAAGAAATGTAATGAAAGCAGATGGAACAAAGCAGAGAAATCTGAAATCAACGTGAATTATTTTCAGGTGAATCACTGTATTGTAGACTATTCTTAGGATGGTATGGACATCCTTAACTAGTGTATTTCTACCTACTATCTACCATGATGCTATAGGTTCAGCCTAAGAAGTGTTACTAGCAAAATAATGTCAGGAATACCTACCCATCATTCCATAAGTCAGCTGCAGTCCTGCACTGGAAAGTTTTTTTCCCAAATAAGGCTTTATGTATTTTAAAACTTCACCAAGATATTCTAAGGATTTTGTGACCATGGCAGATTTATCAGACAGTGTCTGCTGGTTCCTGTAAGTTATACCAACAGCCTAAAAATAAGGGAAAACATGATTTAGCTTTCCAAACTTTACACAATACAGACTTTGATGAAAAATAATGTCTCTCTCCACACACACACAGGCGCACATGTGCACGTGCGCACACACACACACACACACATATCCTTTCTTACATTTAAGTCTTCATTCTTTACTTACTAATAAAAGTTTACAACAATTAAAATGCAAATGAAAAAAAATTAAGCCTTACCTTTTATAATTAAAATGAAGGTTAAAAGACAAAGCACTACTAAAAGGAAACACAGAACTGATACACAAGAATCTTATAACCAAATCAGATCAAGACTTCCAAACAGGTTAGCTTATATTTCTAGATTATATCTGGGAATGCAAAATCTTCAAATTCCTACAGGTAAGACCTACACGTAAGGTTACCAAACTCCTACAAGAAAGCCCTCCTACTTCATTCAGCTCTATAGTATGAATCAATATTTCTCCTAGAATTTTCTTTATGAATCATGAGATGCCACTTTGACATTCTCAGAGGAAAAAAAAAAAAAAGAATCAGGCAGAGAGGACAGAGATGGTAAACTGGAGAAGTGATAGAGAAAGGCATAAAGCTGGTGAGTGAAGGGGACCGAAATTGTGAAATGAGGCAGTGATCGAAGAACAGTGAGGTGGGGAAAAAAACAGAAATATATGAGAGAATAAGTTGGGCAAAGGTGGAAATAAGCAAGAAGAGTTGATAAACTGCAAAAATAACAAAGACCAGGTGTTTGAGGAGAATGGTAACATTTTCAAATCATTTCTGGGGATCTGAAATGTATTTCAAAGACTCACTTAGTAACAGGAGTGGTACTGATTTACTATTTTCTCTGCAGCTCTCAGCAGATAAGACAAAAGAGAGAAAGCGGGTACTTGCACTGAGCAAGGGTGAGGGCTGGTAGGTGTGACCAAAAGACATAGGTGATAGGACTATGAGGGTGTTGTAAGAATAATTGAAATGAGGCCCTCAATGGGTCATATTAAAGTGGACAGGGAGGGAAGCAAGGCCTTGAGAAGATAGAGAAAAGGGAGTGGTTGAAAAACAGATCAGGAAGTTGCTCAGAATCGTGGAGGGACAAACGGTGGTAGGCAAAAAGCTTTCAGATGCTCCAAGTGATGGCCCAATGCAGGGTGTAATCATGGGAGTGAAGGACTGAAGCAGAACAGAAGTGAAGATCTCTAAATACTACTGGAGATGCTTTGCAATCAGTTTAAAATAAGTTATTCACAGTGGTTAAAGTTGACTGTGTTGATAATAAAATGTGGAATGGATGAAACACTGAGGTGGGTAAATAAGTCATAAATTTAATGAATCTTTTTTTCTTCTTTTTAGTTTTCTGCCCTTAGTTCTCCACACGTCTCTCCCTGTATCAGAAGTTCTCAAACTTCTGGTCTTCATTCCCTTCCTACACTTAAAAATTGAGGATCCTATAGAGCTAACTGTTACTAGGGTTATTTCTAGTGATATCAGAAATTAAGAGAAAAAAATCAATTTAAACAGAAAAAAACTGTTTACTAATTCTTACAAAAACCAAACTCACTGCCAACGACTTGATTTGAGTCATAGCAACCCCTCCTTGGGTTTCCAAGGCAGTATCACTATGGAAGTAGATTGCCCAGTCTTCCTTCCCAGGAGTGGCTGGTGGGTTTGAATAGCCAGCCTTCTGGTTAGCAGTCAAATGACTTAGGCACTACGCCACCTGTGGTGGTTATGTTGTGTGTCAACTTGGCTGGGCCTGGTTGAGTGGCTGGGCAGCTGGTGGTAGTTATTCCCCATGAGGAGACTGGCAATCAACTTCACGGTGAAATCTACCACAAGCAGCTAAGGAGCTGCCTTTGGGATGTAGTCTGCTTCCTGTATATAAGGAGAAGCCTTGGGAACGATTTCTAGCCTACGGCTTGGACCCTGCATATAGCTGTGTCATTGCTCAGCAGCCTGCTATGCTCTGCCGACTTTGGGACTTAGAATGGACTTAAGTTAATGGCCTGCCGTGTGGTTTGGTAACATCCGGACTGTGCCTTTTTACTTGTCAACCTTGGGCTTCTCAGCCTCAGCAGCTAGCAGCCGTCTTGAGTGAAGAAATGCCTCGAGCTCCAGTGGGCCAGGAGCAGAAGGCAGAGCTGGACCCCAAGACTGAGGGGCTTTTACCCAGCCCCTAGAGCCTGGCACTTTGAACTTGGACTTACAGCCTCCAAACTGTACGAGAGTAAACTCCTGTTTGTTAAGGCCATCCCATTTGTGATATATTCTTGTCAGAGCAGCACTAGGTAACCAGAACACCACCAGAGATAATAAATATTTTAACATATATAACATATTTTTAATGAAAAATAACTATCTTAAAAAACTTAGTGGGAAGACTTTTTTCTTTTTACATTTTTGTAAACCACTTTAGTATCTGGCTTAATAACAAAATAGCTAGATTCTCTTATCTGCTTTTGCATATGAATTGTTGTGATATGTTACAGATAAAGAAAATCTAGCCTCCTCACATATATGTAGTTAGAGGAGGAGGCAGTAGTATTTTAATAGCTTTTGCAGGTAACAACGGTTCCTCTTTGATGTTACACCAACTCTTGGTAAGTGTTATTTCTGAAAGGTTGGTTGCAATATGGAATCTGAAACCATGTCAATGAGTGTTTCATAGTCACATTGAACGATATTGATCTATCTGTCACTTGAATGATCTTTCAGCCATGTATGCTTTCGCAAAAGCCTAGTTTGGTCATATGGAAAATTTTGACCACATTATCCATATCTAAAAAAAAAATCACTTCGTTTAATGCTTCCTTCAATCTCATCAGAAATCTTTAAATATTGGTAAGCTCTCAAGCTCACAAAGGAAGACTTTGGAGTTTTCAAAAATTCCAATTTTCTTAAAAACTCTAACTATATTATTGGCAACAAATACTGTCATTCATTTTTGAAAAAAAGTCTGCCAAATATTCAAGTCTGAATAATCACAGTTTGTCAGTTGTTCTTTCAAGATAAAAGTAACTAGTTCAATGTGCAATTCAAATAATCATTCAAATACTTTAATCACACTTCCATTGTCTCCCACAAAATATTAAAAAGATGTATATTCAAGGATTAGAATTTAATATAATTAATAATTATATTGCTTCATTAAAGATATTAAGGGGGATTGGCTTCTTTTTTTTCTGTGAGTGCATGGCACGAGAAAATAATGTCTACTAGTATAATTTTGGGCAAAAGTATTGATTTGTGCTAAAGCTTTTGTACTATAGGTGCAAATGTCAACACAGTTTTAACCTCATAGGACCTCCTGAAAAGGTCTCAGTAATTCCCAGGAGTCTATGAACCACACGTTTGAGAACCAGTGCCCCAGACATCTCAATCATTCTCTGTATTTAGCCTTTCACCTCTCTGACTAGTAGACATGTATTTTTCACTCAGTACCTTGGCATAGTGCCTAATGCATCTGACTGCTAACCAGATGGCTGGCAGTTCAAACCCACCAGCCATTCCTTGGAAGGAAGGTTGGGTAATCTACTTCTGTAGTGATACTGCCTCAGAAACCCATAGGGTTGCTATAAGTCGGGTCCAACTCGATGGCAGCGAGTCTGGTTTGGTTTGTCTACCTTAACTATCACTACTCATGTGTCATACTATCATTTCTGTGCAGAAGAGTTAGTATAGCAGGCCTAAGATTGCTTCTTTAGAAAGGACTGTTTGCAAGGTTGGCCCTTGGCTGGTATCTGGAAACTTAAGATTTTGGGAGATTCCGATGATAAAAATAGCTCGCTATCCCTAAAATGTTGGTACAAACAGTATGTTTTATGCTGAATGTCTGCTTTCTGTTTATGAGCCTCAAATTTTGCAAAGTACTAGGCAGAAGGTGACTATGTGATCAGCCCCCATAAAAACTTGAGTACCAATGAGCTTCTTGGTAGACATTTAACATGTGTTTTCATCACATTTCATTGCTGGAAGAACAAAGCACATTCTTTGTGACTTCACTGGGAGAAGACTCCTGAAAGCTCTTAGTGAGTTTCTCCAAACTTTATCCCATGCATTTTTTCTCTTTGTTGACTGTGGTTTGTATTCTTCTGCTGTAATAAATCATGGCTATATGTGTGACTATATCAAGTCCCTTGTATCCTCCTCATAAGTTAAAGAGTCTGGGGGTAATCATGTAGACCCTTGATGCAACTTCAAAACTGAACTCCTCCCCTACTGCTACCTCATCTTAAATCACGATGCTCCTATTTTCCTAGTTATACATAGTATTTATTCCATATCCACTTAGGAGTTCCATAACCATTCAAAATTCAAATCTTGTTAGATCTCATTAGTTTCCAGCTGATACTTCTCCCCAACATTCAGTCTATTCTATTGTTCCTAATTGTCTTAAACTCATTTGGTCAAATCAAATCTACTTGAAAACTTAGAAAGCCTTCACAAAATTCACAGGATAAAATCTGAATTATTTATACCAACATGCTCTGAATTCTTAACTTACTGATTGATCTATCAACTAACTGGCACTTAGCATATACCACCTTATATTATTATTTTAAGGAGCCCTGGTGGCACAAAGATTGAAGCACTCAGCTGTCAACCAAAAGGACTGTGGTTTGAACCCATCAGTCACTCTGCAGGAGAAAGATGTGGTAGTCAGCTCCGTAAAGATTTACAGCCTTGGAAATCCTATGGGGCAGTTCTACTCTCTTCTACAGGGTTACTGTGAATCAGAACTGACTTGAAGGCAATGGGTTTTGGTCTTCTTATTATTTTAACCTTTGTGTGTATCTTACATTCTCAGTCAAGTATAAGTCCTCTGAGGTCAAGGACCAATTATTTTGGCTCTTCAAATATCTAAGAAATCCCAGTCTAATATTATCCAGCATTTAAAAAACAATTATGAATAATGAAAGAGAAATAAATTCAACTGGATCAAATTAGGGGATCCTCTGAAAACTATCAGTGGACTTGTACCTCCTGTCTGATCCAATATAGTTTAACCACCATAAAACCCAAACCAAACTCACTGCCGTCAAGTCAGATCCAACTCATAGCGACCCCTCCTTGGGTTTTCAAGGAGGTATCACTACAGAAGTAGATTGCTCAGTCTTCCTTCCAAGTAGTAGCTGGTGGGTTTGAACCGCCAGCCTTCCGGTTAGCAGTCAAATGCCTTAGGCACTACACCACCAGAGGTGTTTAATTAATTATAGATTGGGAGACAACTGACAACTATTACCAAATATTTTCAGAATTTATCTATCATTCCCAGTTGTACTTTAACTTAATGGAAATCAATGGAAAATTTTTCATTGTTAACTTATTGGTTATAATTTTCATTGCTGTTAACACCAATTACTCTGTGGAAAACTAAACCACCTTTACTCTGAATAGCTTATAAAAAACACTAATCCAAGGACATTAACAACCTCAACTATACTGTAAAACAAAGAATATCATAAAGATACATTTCTATAGAATTAATAATTAAATACAATGTTGAATGGGACTATACCATGTAGACAAAACAAAACAAAAAAATTCTTTAAAGACTTTAACACACTATCATATGAAGTAGTTGGCACTTATAATGAACACACTATAATTTTACTGTATCGCTATTTGCTACAGGGTAATAAACATTATTAACCTAGAACTATTCTGGACCCTATACAAAGAAATTTAGTTCCTAAGTACCTGAAAAACATTGTTAGCCAGCAATTTCAGCAATCAGACATTCCCACAATTTAGTTCAGCCTTATAAGTCTCTTATGCAGCATTTTTAAAGTTATTTTCCATTAACTCTAATTTTTTGCTGTCCTTAAGAATGAATTGTACTATATCTTAGACTCAAATGTTTCCTCCTCTAGAATTCTGTAGTGGAATGAAACCAGTAATATGATCCAATTTAAAATAATTCATTATATAGAAAATCTTTTCAGGAACACTTTATGTTTTTCTAAAAAATAATTGTAACAGATCTAGACAATTATGCCAATAAATGAAAAATACCTCAAGGAATTGAGCAAGTGCTTTTTTAGGGTCTTCTAAGGTAGTTAAATATTCAACTTGAGACTTTGAGAAAATACTCTTTACTTCTGGCAGTTTAAACAGCAACCTTGTCAGTTCAGTCAACTGTTCCATGTATTCTTTCTCTGTTAAAACAGAAAATAAATAAATATATTGTTGTTGTTGTTGTTATGTGCCGTCGAGTCAGCCCTGACTCATAGCGACCCCTCCTTGGGTTTCCGAGGCAGTATCACTACGGAAGTAGGATTGCCCAACCTTCCTTCCGAGGAGTGGCTGGTGGGTTTGAACCGCCAGCCTTCTGGTTAGCAGACAAGTGCTTTAGCCACTATGCTACCAGAGCTCCTAAATAAATATATATATACATAGAAAGAGAGAGTGAGAACAATAATGGGAGGTATCATTTATTTATAACATGTTGTTGTTGTTGTTGTTGTTATTTGCCGTCGAGTCGGACCCGACTCATGGCGACCCTTCCTTGGGTTTCCGAGGCAGTATCACTACGGAAGCAGATTGCCCCATCTTCCTTCCGGGGAGTGGCTGGTGGGTTTGAACCGCCAGCCTTCTGGTTAGCAGTCATGTGCCTTAGGCACTATGCTACCAGAGCTCCCATTTATAACATGCTCTCTTTTAAAATTCTAATTTCCACAAAATTCAAGGACTTTGAATTAACTTCCTCTTACTAAGCAAATGTTTCATTTAAAACAAAAAGCAAACTAAACAAAAATGTACTTGTGAAAATCTTAGCCTCAAAAGTTACTCATGTAAAACAAGTGATGTAATAAATTATCATAGTAAATTTGAAGTACTTTTCAGTATTATCTTTGTGCACATTTACAAAATGGCATGTTCTACGGGCAATCAGAACAATAAGGGAAACAATGAAAATCTTGAAAGTTTAAGTATCACTCATTGAATAACAAACAGTAAAGCAGAAAAAAAGGCAAAATTCAAAATTGGATATTTTTTCTTTTTAGGGTGATCACAGTGTGATATCTGGTTAATATTTTCAGGTTTCTACTTCTTTTGTGTGATCAGTTTCTTTAGGGGGAAAATATAGCTTGTCACCTGAGGGGCAAGTTTTTGGTCTTGACTTCCAAGGAAACAAGTTCTTTTATCTTTATAGAAAAGAAATTTATTATCTATAGTAACAGGAAAATAATAAGAGACAGGTTATAAATGGAAATAAAATTCTGCTTATATTCATACCAATATACAAATTTATTTCACATATTTTCTATTAATTTTTGAAACAAATACTAAATTTTAAACACATTTTACTATAGAGAAAGCAAAAAGCTTTATATGCATATACAAACAATCAAAAAAACAAAAACATAACCCAGGAATACTTAACTTACCAACTGCCTGTTCAGGATGTGTATCACTGAACAAATCATCAGGCACAGAGAAATTTTTTATATACATTTGTAAAACACAACGGATCCATGATCTTACAGTTAAGGCTTGGAAAGACACAACGTCTGAATGAGAGAGTGCCTCACATAATGTGCTATAAAAATAAATTGATGGTTATTAGAAAGATACAACAACATATTTCCCGAGTACAGAGATTAAGAAGAAAAACACTATAACATCCCCTGCTCCTTGGCTTCACTTATTTTTCAGTCAAACACTCTAATGTAGACAAGGATTGCTGAAAATGAACACTACAAATATACATAAAAAGGTATTTCAGATAAATATACTCGTTTTCATTTACAGTTTTCTCTTTTTAACATTCTTTTTTTCCACTGATGGTATATGTATAGGCTTATGCCCAGGGATAGGTAAGAAAGACTATGGCTAAAATGAGAAAAGCAACGGGCTTATAATGAGCTACGTGAGAGAATACTGAAGAAAGAAGCACGTAGATAACCCAACAGTGTCATTTAGAGTAAGTAAAGACAGAAGAGGGCACGAACATATAACCAAACCTATTGCCACTGAGTTGCATTTCAACTCATAATGACACTTACTCACTCTCACTCACTCTCTGCTCTCAAGCTGATTCTGCTCAGCAACCCCTACTTGGTTTTCAAGGCGCTATCTCTACAGAAGTAGATTTGCCCAATCTTTCTTCCAAGAAGTGGCTGGTGGGTTTGAACTGCCAGCCTTCTGGTTAGCAGTCAAATGCCTTAGGCACTACCCCACCAGAGCTCTCAATGACAGTACAGTACAGTAAAATTGCTCCAAAGGGTTTGCAAGGCCTCATCTTTCTCCAGTGGAGTGGCTGGGTGGGATTGAACTCCCAATCTTTTAACTGGCAACCAAATACTTTAACCACTGCTCCACAAGGGCTCCTTTGAATATAAGTTGTCATAAAAGAGAACATGGCATAGAAAAACTCAGACTGGCCACTTATGTAACCTTAGCAAAGCTACTTGTTAACATCTTTGCATTTCACTTTCTTCAACTATTACTAATAAACCAGTATTATTTCAAAACCCAAAATTATTGCAAAACATTTCAATAAAAGCAATAAATTATATAAATGTTATCATTATAGAATTCTCAAGCTACAAGGGACCTTTAAAGTAATTTAATTGAAAATGAACTCCCTTACTGTACAAATGAAAGCCCAATGAGAAAACAGGTACTTAATGACTCTGCTTAATAAGCTTCCTTGTAAGAAGAATTACCTCACCAACTATATTTCTTTCATTTTCATTAACAGGCAACTCAGACAAGAACTATATACACTGGCCTCTTAAGATTTGTATACTTATCTTATTATCCCTCATCTTGATGTTCTAATCTAAATCTTCCTGATCACACTACACTATTTCTATTTTAACTTTATTATAGATTTTTACTATTGAGGTAAGTCAAACCTCTTGTTTAAAATGGCAGGAGACACTTATACATAAAGAAACTAATGGTCAGAGGTCAGGGAAACAAAGTGGCTTGTTCCTGATCGCACAACAGTTAAATCTAAGTATCTAGCTGTCAAAAAGAAATAGTTACCATTAAATCTAAAACTACAACAATATCAGTGTCTTACAGATTCAGCAATATTACTGTATAATATTTTTTACAATGCTGAGTGTAGTAAGGTCATTTTTAGATGAGAGTAAGGGAGTACAACAGAAAGTTTTGAAAAAGGCCTTAACCAGCAAAATTGGGGAAGAAAATAAAATAAGTAAATAAACCCATAAGCTAGCCTTTCTACTATTACCAGTGTCAAAACACTGATGTCCTCAAAAGCAAAACAAAAAAAAAAATTCCACAGTGAAACTACGTAGTTCAGTTTTCATTTGTGAAAATTCTTCCTCAGGGTACTCATCTATGTGGGCTTGCACTAAAGTAATGTGCAAGCCTTAAATAAAAGCACTTACCTATTTTGTAGGACATGACTTAAATATCGTGCTACAACTTGGGGCCACATGATATCATCCCAACCAAAAAGTCGAATTACTGATATAACTGGCTGAGGCTGAAGATCTGATGGAGCTGTACTGGGCATGTCCATGGCCAAAAAAGTAAAGTCTGGATTAAAAATGAGATAAACTTATGATGAGAAAAAAATTTTTTTTAACTTTTTCTCCCTGTCAAAATTGTGTTAATATGATGGGGAAAAAAAAAAAAAAAATCAGTTCTAAATAATACAATGTCATATTTAGAAAGGTAGAACAAATAAATCTCTAAAATGGAACTAAATCCACCTTGTCAAAGAAATTTCTGCAGCATCACCTAATCCTCCAGTCAAAGGTCTAGGATGATCTATCTTAGTACCATCATTATGGATCTATAATGACTCCCTCAAGTCACAAAATCTAAGCCTGATGTTTTTGCTAATGTGCCTCCCTCATTCCAAAGATCATTAAAAAAAGGTCTAGCATCTACTATTCTCCAATTACTCTAATTTTTACTTGCCATCTGTCCCAGAGGATAGTTGTCTCTCACCTTAGCCGCTGGAATTCTCTTCTATTAAACAGTACTCTCTTACAATCAGTGGCACTCCATGTCCTTCAGAACCCACTAAGTCTAGGAACTAGGATGTTTAACAAAACAACTTTATTTTGTGATTTCTTGGGAATTCACCAACTTAATGTGTACTATATTATGTTTGTGAATAAGTTGCTCATTAAGCACTGTTTCCTATGTAGCTCTCTCAAATAGCAGTTGTTTATTACTTCACTCCCCCCATACCACTTGACTTACAGACAGGGTTAAATTTCCTACTTGGTCTATATTGCTGCTCTAGACCATTCTCCAACCCTCTCCCTGAAACTCTTGGTTTTGAGTCTCATATCATCAGATTATTCCTTGCTGAATTGATATACTGTTTCCTAGTCCATCTCCTCTTATCCCTTGAAGATTGTAGCTCACTATCATTTTCTCCAACAGCATTTGTGTTGTAATCCTTGATGATATTTCTTCCACTATCCTGGCCTCTCCATTCCTTAAACTTCTTCCTCCAATGAATTTATCTTCCCCTTTGCTTTGGCCACTCATTCCCATGGTGTTAAGCAGAGACCTTGTCATTACCAGTAATCACTATCTTTTTATGGTTTCAACCACAAGTACCCCCCACACTCTCTCTTAGACTACAAACTGCCTTTCCAACTCTCATCATCTAGGACCCCAACTCCAGCAATTCTTTGACTCCACCAAGATCTACAATCTCCTGATCCTACAAATTTTTCCCTATCCCTCACTACCTTTGTGCCCTCCCTCTCTTTCCTCTTTAGGCAGCTCAGATTACAAGGTACATTATTATAATCATATGTGCATATCCTCAGCTGCTTTGCTCCTGTCTTGATTCATTGTACTTGCCTGGAAAAAACCACCATCTGTTTAATTCCAACTCTCAGTCTTCTATTTATTCTCACTTTAATAAATAAATATGACCACAAACTTCAAGTAACATTCCTACTACATTTACTTAATCCATTCAGTCTTATTCTGTTAGAGGACTTTTGCAATACTTTCTCTCCTCTCTCCTTTAATAAAGCCAACTCCTCTTCTTCCATCCTTACATTCAGCCAATGACCTTACTTACTACTTCAGAGAGAACTGAGAAACAACCAGAGAACTGTTACAAACTTGTACCACATCTACCCAGCTACCTCCATCTGTGCCCATTTACTCTGCTTGCTTTTCGGCTACGAAAGATGAACTGAGGCCAACTGTTCTACAGGATCCCACCTTCTCTCGAGTAAAAAATACACGTCTTCAGTATCACAAAAATTGCCTTCACTCCGGATCAGTCTCATCAGAATTATAAATGTGCTGAGTTATAAAACTGCTCCCATGTTATTAAAAACCAACAACAAAACAAAAATCTCTTTGATTACACTTCTCCATCTAATAACACCCCCATTTTTCTACTTTTCTTATATAGTGATACTCTTTTAAAAAGTTTATCTATATTTGCAGATTGCAATTCTTCTCTTCATGTTTTCTCTTGAATCATCTTCCATCAGGCCTTTCTTGCCTCCTCTTACTTGACCCATTAGCAACATTTGATTTGGGTGATCACTTCCCATTCTTTGAAATGCTCTGTCATTTGGTTTCCAGGGTGCCCTGGAACTTAGATACTAAGACACAACAGTGCAAAAATTAAGCACTTGGCTGTTGAATCAAAGGCTGGTTTGAACCCACCCAGAAGCTCTGTAAGAGAAAGTACTGCTTCTGTAAAGATTATGGCCAAGAAAACCCCCCGGGGCAGTTCTGCTCTGTCACATGGGGCTGCTGTGAGTCAAAAATCAGCTTTACGGTACACATCAGTAACACACTTTCTCAGTTTGTCCTCTTACCACACCGGTACTTTCAGTCTCTTTTCCTGGTTTCTCCTTATCTTACAAATCTGAACATGGAATCCCTAGAATCTAGTCATTGACTGTTTTATCTATACTGTCGATGATTCCATCTAGTTTCATGGCTTTGAAAACAATGTATACATGGATAGCTTCCAAATGTAAATCTCCAGCTTGGACCTCTTCAATGAACAATAGGCTCACTATCCAAGTGGCTACTTAATACCCCTATTTGGATATCTCAAAAAAATATGCCCCAAACCAAACTGCTAACCTCCCCCTGTAAAATCTGCTTCTACCACAATCTTTCTCATCTCAGGAAATGACAGCTCCATCCACTTAACTGCTGAAATAAAAACCTTGTGTTATCCTAACTCCTCTCTTTAACGATTTTCCTCCTCATGTCTTATACACTTAGTAAATTCTGTCAGCTCAACTTTCAAAATACCTTCTCTACCTTCAGATCAGGAGTCTGACTACTTCTTACCACCTCTACTGCTACCTCCTTAGCCCAAGAAACTCTCTTTTTGAACTACTGCAATTCTTTCCTAATTAGCCTCCCAGCCCTTAACTCCACGCCCTTACCTTCCTATAGTCTATTCTCAACCTAGCAAGTCAGAGGGATCATACCACTTCTCTGCCCAAATCTTTCTTACAGCGTCTAATCTCAGAGCAAAAGCAAAAGTCTCTACAACTGTTTATAAACAACCTCAGGAAATAGCTCTCCATTACCTCCTGACTACATTTATGATTATTCTCTTCCTTTCTCACTCCACACGAGTCATTATGGCCTTCTTATAGTTCCGCGAACACACAAGGCCTCTTCCTGTCTCTGTCTTCTACATAGTTTGGTCTCTCAGCCCCTTCAGGTCTTTGCTCAAATGCTACTTACTCAGAGAGGCTTTCCTGATCTGTCTATTTAAAATTACACTTTGCTCCCTGGCCTTGCCAGATCTCTCATCCTCATCTGTATTTTCAATGGTCTCCATAGCACATAAGACCACCTATTATAAATTTTACTAATTTATTTAGTTTTTGGTCTTTCCCTACTAGAATATAAATTTTATGAAGTATAGGTATTCTTGTTCCTTTTTCCACTGGTGTATCCCCAATGCCTATAAAGGTGGGAATCCAATGAATATATATATATGTTTTTAAATGAAATCACTCTTTCCTAAATTAAACTATCAAGTCTATTTTATGAGCCCACACATATTTTGCTTTAGTATTTATAGATAATCTACTTTCAGAACCTAGGACAGCACTGGCCAAAATGAGGTGTCATTTGTTGGTTGAGTGGGTGTTGGGGTGGTGAATTTAAGAAAGGTTAGTTATATAGTTTAATAAAGACTGCTTTGGCTGGTGGGTTTGAACTGCCAGCCTTCTGGTTAGCAGTGAAATGCCTTAGGTACTATGCCACGAGAGCTTCTGTTCTGGTTAAACAGTCATTGCTCTGGCAAAAAAGAAAAAAAAAAAAATGAGTATTTATTTTCCCAAACATTACAGTAGTTGAAAATCTGCTGTGTGTTATGATTTCTCAATCTATCATTGTATAAAAAAGTCTTAATTATTTAGGCAGCTACCAGAATTCAAAGGAGCCCTGGTAAGGCAGTGGTTAAGCGCTCAGCTGCTAACTGGTGGTTTGAAACTGCTGCTCCATGGGAGAAAGATGTGGCAGTCTGCTTCTGTGAAGATTATAGCACCTTGGAAATCATATAGGGGCAGTTCTACTCTGTCCTATAGGGTTATGAGTTGGAATTGACTCAATGGCAAGAGGTCAGTAAACCAGAATTCAAGATCATTTGAAAACTTTTATCATTCAGTCTTTTATGTAATGTTTTTAGCTCAGCTTTCCTCATTTACACCAAAGTAAAATAAACCTTGGTTAAGATTTTAGGTTTTGAGGAATATTACATTTAAATACAATGTTGTTGTTGGCTGCCATGAAATGAATCAATTCTGACTCATGGCGACCCCCTGCGTACAGAGTAGAACTGCTACACAGTGGTTTTAAGGTATGATCTTTGGAAGCAAATGGTCAAGCCTGTCTCCCGAGGCCCCTCTTGGTGGATGGAAACTGCTAACCTCTTAGTTAGCAGTTGAGTGCTCAATGATTTGCACCACCCAGGGACTCCAAGTACATTATCAAAAAAACAAATCCAGAAGGGCAATGTACCAAATGTGAGTGACCATTATGGCAGCATTGAGGATGAGAAAGACAGAGAGAGTTACATGGGCAGTACAAACAACAAATATGAACCCCTTTGTAAATACAATACTGAGTTGTCAATGAAAGCAAACATGGGTATAGGGACGGATAGATGGGTGAACAAGCTAAACAATTATGTATGTCTAAATGGAGAGTGTATCCAAGATCATATACAGGGTTGGCAGACAATGGGCCTCTCGAAGAGTATGAAGGGATGGACACTGGGAGGAGGTAACTATGGGGAGGAAGTGGGAGGGGAGCTGCTGCATTGTAAATTTTGGTCAATGACATGAGACAAAGTATATGTGAACTGCTGTATGAAAAGTGAATTTACTCTGTAAATCTTCACCCAAATCCTAATAAAAAAAAAAAAATCCACTGCTATTGAGTCAGTTTTGACCCACAGCAATCCTACAGGGCAGAGTAGAACTGCCCCCACAGAGTTCCCAAGGCTGCAAATCTTTACAGAAGCAGACTGCCACATCTTTCTCCCATGGAACAGCTGAGCACTCTAACCACTGAAACACCAGGGCTCCCCAAATACATTACATACATTTAAACACATACAGGAGCTCTGGTAGCATGGTGCCTAAGGCACTTGATTGCTAACCAGAAGGCTGGCGGTTCAAACCCACCAGCCACTCCTCGGAAGGAAGGTTGGGCAATCTACTTCCGTAGTTATACCCCCTTGGAAACCCAAGAAGGGGTCGTTATGAGTCGGGTCTGACTTGACAGCACATAACAACAAGTCACTATATTGATACCTGTAATTCTTAACATATTTTGGGGAAAAAAAATATCACTTTGAGAAGATATTGACTCCTTCTTAGGAAACAGCATAAATGACCCTTGAACAATGTGGGGGTTAGGGGCGCCAACCCCAGGCACAGCTGAAAATCTGCATGTCTTCTGACTCTCCAAAAACTAAACTACTAATAGCCCACTGCTGACCAGAAGCTTTTACTCATAACATAAACAGTCACAATAACACAGTTCTTCCTGTACAGTTATTAGATTTTCACACAAAGACACATACACAACATATAAATTCATTAACTTATGTTGATTATTTACTATTCACTAAGTGGAAGTGGATTAACACAGTTCTTGCCGTACAGTTACTAGATTTTCACACAAAGACACATACACAACATATAAATTCATTAACTTATGTTGATTATTTACTATTCACTAAGTGGAAGTGGATTAACACAGTTCTTGCCGTACAGTTACTAGATTTTCACACAAAGACACATACACAACAGATAAGTTTATTAACTTATGATGATTATTTAATATTCACTAAGATTGGGCAATCTACTTCCACAGTGATACTGTCTCGGAAACCCAGGAGAGGTTGCTATAAATTGAATCCGACTCAATAGCAGTGAGTTTCTTTCTCTGATAAGTGGAAGTGGACCACAGTAAGGTTCTATCAGCTGAGGAGGAGAAGGGAGGGTGTTGATTGTACTGTCTCAGGGGTGGCAGAGGCGGAAGGGGAGGCAGAAGAGGCAGGCACACTAGGTGTAACTTTATGGAAATACATAATTTCTGTCTGACTTCTTTGCTTTTTCATTTCTCTAGAAATGTTTTTATACAGAACTTATCCTTCCTCCACCATCGGATTTAGTTTTGGTGCCAATATCATAGCAGGGTCTGTCCTAAAAGTAACCAAAAGCAGTTCTGAAAAACTGGAACCCTTCTGTCAGTCTAATGTCAATCTGCTTTCTGGCACTGCTTCTGCTACATCTTCTTCATTGTTCAGCACTGGTTCAGAAGCACTCATCTCCATCAAGCTATCTTCTGTTAAATCCCCTGGTGTAGATCCTGAATCTCTTCAAAATCCCTATCTTCAGAAGAATCCATATATAAGTGGACCTATGCAGTTCAAACCCATGTTGTTCAAGGTTCAACTTGAACAGTCAACAGTCAAATTCTTACCTACAATTTCATAGGATTCAAAGTTCCCTAAGGTCTAAGGACATATTCTTATGCTAATTATAAAATTAAGTAAAATTACAACCTTAAATAGAATTGAGTGAGTCATAGAACAATAACTTTCTTTTCCTACAATGTCATTCTGATCTTATCCTCTTGGTGTTGAAGCGGTATTCACTTTACATTCTTTCCTCTTTAAACAAAAACTTGATCTTGTACCTCGATATCTGATCATACAACTTAAAAAATAAACTACTTCAACTAAAAGTATCCAAGTGCCACTTTACTTTCCAAATACTACTTAAGTTTATATACATTCAGGATTTTTAAAATTGAAATTTATTTTTATTTTTAGCAAATAATCATCTAATCTACTACTTCTACTAAGAGGACAATAAGAAGCAAGCCAAAGGACCCTAATTTAAAAACATACAACTCTTTTCATCTTTCTGGTTGTCAGAATGTTTATTACATCATATTACCTCCTAAAAGCAAGAGCTTGTTCCCAGGCAAAAAGACAAAATACTGACATAAACAGACTGTGAAAAGAAAAAGTAAACAGCAAATTAACAACGCTGACCTGCAGCTGCATCTGCAAGTTGAGCGAGAGGCACTGTCTGTGACATTCTCTGGCTCTTCAGAAATGAAAAGAAATGTCTCCACAGCACACTGGCAACAGCAGCAAGGTGGCGCTCTTTAGCTGATAATGAAGACTGTAAAATGAGGTCCACATTCTCTCTTTGAAGTTCCTGACACAATTGTTGATGCATACTCCTAAAAAGAAATTTAAAAATACAGTTAACTTCCAACAGATGCCTAGGAGAATCTTTTTTAAATATATTTTGAGTTTTTGTTTTTTTTTTTACATTTATACTATATGAAAACTGAAGGGCCATTTTATATAATTAAAACCTTTATGCCAAGACATTATGCATATCTGTTATTTGATGGATGAATGATGGCATATTAAGCACCATAAAGTTAATGTTAATTACTAATGTCAACCATTAATTATATGCTTTTTAATATGTCAAATACAAATGAGAAGCCGGCAGCTTCAGAATGAAGGTCTGCATTTTGCAATGTTAGTAGGACAAGTGATTTTACTTACAATCGAGACAGAAAATAATTTTTTAAACCATTTTCTACTGAGGGCTTTTGGACATGGATTTTTAACAAGAGGAAAATAAATACATCTGGCTAACGTGTAGTAGTGAAAATTAAAATATTTTCCTTGTTTGGAAAAAATATAGGCATAGTGTTAGTGTACAAAACAGTAACAAAAAACATGTATAATCATTTTCACATAGACAATAATAAACAATAAGGTTACTTATCTCCATAAAAACACGTGAATTTAATACTACTTCAAATTTCAATTCATCCTTTACTAACCTTTTCTGCTTCATTGAATTGAAAATTTAAGAAATTTCTAGATGTTAATAGAAACATGAACATGCCTACAGGAAATTGAGATAAACAAAGTAAAAGGGGGAAAGACAGATTTTTCTAGTAATATGGATTAGACATTTATGTAATACACTAAGAATTAATAATATGATAATTTAAAACTAAATATATAATCATACTATTTCTCAGAAGTAAGGCTGGGCAATCCTACTTCTGTAGTGATACTGCCTCGGGAACCCAAGGAGGGGTCGCTATGAGTCAGGGCTGACTCGACGGCATGTAACAACAACAACATTATTCTTATTTCTTTTTAAATTGCTGGCACCTCACAACTGAGAACGTATATAAATGCAAGGATACCATCTTTACATTTGCTTTCTTAAACTTTATAGAAAGCAGGAAAAATAAACAACAGAGCTGAGGCAGAAGATTCCCTTAAACAGTAATAGTATTCCATTAAGAAAAATAATTAGCACTGAAGGAAAAAAAAAGTTACATTAGTTACAACAATCTTGTTTTACAATAGTTTATCTCCAGGAAGTAGACATTGAAAGGACTAGACAGAACACAGCTCATTAACATGTATCCGAAGCAACAGCATTTGACTGCTAACTAGAAGGCTGGCAGTTCAAATCCACCAACCACTCATGAGAAGGAAAATTGGGCAATCTATCTCCAGAGATACTGCCTCAGAAACCTAAGAAGGGGTCGCAATGAGTCAAATCGGCTCGACGGCAGTGAGTTTGATTTTTTTGGTTAAAAGCAATTCTACAGAAAGATCAAGTTTGTCTTAGTATATTTCACATAATACACATTGTTGTTGTTGTTATTTGCCATCGAGTCGCCCCTGACTCATAGCGACCCCTCCTTGGGTTTCCGAGGCAGTATCACTACGGAAGTAGATTGCCCAACCTTCCTTCCGAGGAGTGGCTGGTGGGTTTGAACCGCCAGCCTTCTGGTTAGCAGTCAAGTGCCTTAGGCACTATGCTACCAGAGCTCCTATAATACACATAGGTGAGACAAAATAATAAGCATAAAACAATAGGACCTTGAGCCCCTCTCCACGGGAATTCTTGGCTAATCATGGGGCTCTAATTATTACTACTTGAAATAACAACAACAACAACAACAAAAGTGCTAACAACATATGCTAAGGGAAGGAAAATCATAGCAAGTAATTCTCATAAAAGCTAACCAAATATCTGCTATGTCTTCTCTGTGTAAAAACATACCTGAGATGCTTTCAACTTAAACTAGCAACTAGAGTACCATTTCAGATACTTTACCTTTGAGTAGGATTAATATCAAACCACTAAAATCCATTTGACAACTAACTCAACTGCCTACATCAACACCGCAAACATTTCACTAAACTGAAGTCCAAGTAAAATAATACCACCATTTTTCCTACCTTTATAGCTTTTTCAAAGTATATTGGTTTCAAAGGATAATAAATAACTTATTACACTTGGAGAGGTTGGCTCTGGCACCTCAATATTTCTAAATAAGTCACTTTCTTCACTAATTAAACTTATTTTCTAGGAAGGGGTAACAATTCTGAACATCCACTACGTGTTAGAAATTCTTGTACGTAAAAATCAGAAAACCCTGTAAGATGGATATCATTACTCCTCTTTACAGATGATGAAGCAAAATCAGAACAAATGTATAAGATTGCAGTGTAGTAAATTACTTAGTATGGCTTTGCTACCCAAAAGTCATTGTAAACTCAGTGGTGGAATGAGCAACTGAGGAGCTCCTGATTGTAAATGTTATCCACCCGGGTTATTTCTGTTGGGAATGGCACAACGCAATGTTATGGGAGGCTCACTCTCAGGTGCTTAGAGTTCTGGTGCTATGATTGGCTAGTTTGACCACCCTGCCGGGCTCAAAAGGAGCCCTCCTAGAGGCAGAACTCTCTCTGACTGCTGGCTGAGCAAGATGTGCTGCTGAAAGAGACACGCACTCCTGAGACACGCATTGCTGGGAAAGAGATGCAAGAGACACGCATTGCTGAGCAAGACACTGAGGGACCAGCACTGCTGGGAAAGAGACTGTGAGAGACTGTTGGCTGAGGGACGGTGGGCTGGGAGAGACTGAGCATTTTTCCTGAACTTGAACTGTAGCTTGTGGTGCTTCCCTAACAAACCCCATAATCTGTGAGCTCTGTGTGGCCACTGCAGCGAATTATCGAGCCCAGGAGAGAGGTGGTGGGTGCTTTGGGACGAAGGGTTGCAAAAAGGGCTGGAGGGAGGCAGCATGTCTGGCCTCGCAGGAATAGGCCCTGGGCTATTGATGGTGATTCTGCCTTCCTCTTGTGGGATTAGAGGAGGTCAGAACATGTGGCCTCCTTGCCCTTTTTGCAAAGATGATGAAGCTTAATGTCAGGAACATTAAATTATATGCCCAAAGGTCACATGGTTAGAAGGGCTAGACTCATCATCTGAAGCTGTATCAGACTCTGAAGGCTATATATATGTTTGTCTTATGCACTACGAGACACATGTGCACAAAGAAAAGTTTAAAAAGGATTAAACACTGATAAAGTTTCTTCTCTCCCTATTTGTGTTCAAGAAATTTTAACCCAAATTGTTAACTTTGTTAAAAGTTAACAAAGGAAAAGAGCTGGAAAAGCCACATATAGCTTTGTGTTTTGAAGGGCCAGGGGTGAAAACAGAATTCAACATCAGGAAAGACTTTAAAAAAAAGGCATTCAAAGCAATATTGAGAAGTCCAACAAATATGGATCACCTTTGACCTGTCCAGAGCACAATGTAAGGTACATGGGAGCTCTGGTGGTGTAGTCCCTAAGGCATTTGACTGCTAACCAGAAGGCTTACTGTTCAAACCTACCAACCACTCTTCAGAAAGAAGATTGGGCAACCTACTTTCGAAGAGATACCGCCTTGGAAACCCAAGGAGAGGTCACTCTGAATAGAATCGACTCAATTAGGAGTTACTGCAAAGATATGATTCATATCTCTAAAACAACAAACCATTAGGAATACTTTAAAGCTAGAGATTACATCCTGTATGGTAGCATTAAAACAGCAAAAACAAGTTTTAACTAAGTTTGAAACTCTGTCTTGAAAACAAACTTACTTTGGAAATGTGCATTTACTTAGTATTTTAGTTTTGAAAGGAAGTTAAATACTCTGAATATACAGAATACTTTCTGCTTGATATTTAAAATGTTCAAGCCACATTACTCAGGATAAGAATAATTATCTGCTTATTTTAACACAGAATAAAGCCATATAAGAAGACCTTATGATCATTTCTCTAAACCTGAAGAAATTATTATGATAAATAAGAGTCTGAGGAGAAAATAAAATTTCTGACCAAAATAAAATTTCTATAGCCAAAATAGTCAGAAATACCTTTTGCAGTCACAGGTAATTTTTAAACCATATTTTCTAGATCAGAAAACTATACAAAGACTATTGAAAAATTAATTCATTATATTACATGTGATCACTGCATAAGGTATATTTCAAAAACACAGATATTAAGAGATGATCTGTCACTAGAGGTAATATAAAACATACATGAAATATGTTATTGCTGTGTGCCACTGAGTCAATTCCAACTCATAAAGACCCTACAGGACAGAGTACAATTGCCCAACAGGGTTCCCAAGGCTGAACACTTTACAGAAGCACACTGCCACATCTTTCCTCTGCAGAGTGGCTGGTGGGTTTGAACCACCCACCTTTCAGTTAACAGCTGAGCGCTTAACAATATTATGTTGTTGTTGTTGTTATGTGCCGTCGAGTCAACCCGACTCACAGTGACCCCTCCTTGGGTTTCCGAGGCAGTATCACTACAGAAGTAGAAGGATTGCCCAACCTTCCTTCCGAGGAGTGGCTGGTGGGTTTGAACCGCCAGCTGTCCGGTTAGCAGGCAAGTATCTTAGCCACTATGCTACCAGAGCTCCCTAACAATATTATAGGGAGTATAATATAGTTCTAGGTGTTATGGCTATTTTATGAGACATTATCTATATAGTTCTAGATGTCATGCCTATTTTATGAGATATGATTTATCTACTTCAACAAAGAGTAGAAAAATACAAAAGTAGATCTGTTGCACTTTTGTGCAAAATGTGATTTCTGGTCAGAAACTAAAAGAAATATTAAAGAGACACAGAACCTCCCATACTTAGTAAATGTTTTGTTTAGTAAAGACAGCTTTAACATGGGTTAAAATCATTTTGGAAATACAGAACCGAAAATACACAGCCCATTTACATTCTAAAAGGTGGAACGCTGTAGAAAATAGTTTGTTGAATGTTAAGTTATTCAAATTGCAGCTCTACAGTAAAAACAATAGCAACACCAGCATTTATTGGTATTGATCATGTG